AGATATGAGTCCGACCCAGACAACGGGACCAACGGCGGCGGTAGCTCCGCTCTCCGGAGCATAAAACAGGACTCCAACCCGCGCCTACCCTCTTGCATTCATATCCCTGAAACTTGTCACAGGAGATCTCAGTTCCGACCTGGGACTCCACCCCCACTTTCCTAAAATCCTTGGCACACCCCCTTTTCACACTTCCAGGCCCACTCTCACTCCGATCAGGAAGTCGCGCCGGGTGTGAGGTTAGGGTGTTACAACCCTTCCAATGGGCATTTGGTGAACCAAACCCCGAAAATGAGTCAAGGATAATAAACGCGAGGGGTAACTTTAGTAAAGTCACAAAAGCGAGTTATAATTGCTCTATGGGACAACATACAGTTTGCAATTCCACTTCGAACACCCTACCTGGATAGAAAGCTGAGTTGTATACATTGCCCGAACTGCAATTCGACACTGTATCTTGGCCCGTAGTGCATTATAACTCATTTTTGTGACTCCGGCGTAGTTTCCCCTAAACGCAACCCTGTGGGCTGCAAACATCCTTGAGCCGAAGCTAGGTGATGCCCCCAGTACCTTCTTTGTTTTCTATTTCAATATTCGAAGCCTGAGGGACTTCACCCGTTAAGTAAGGAAAAGCGTGGTTTCCAGTATGGACCGGTAAAAAAAAAAAAAAAAACACCAGGAAATGTGATACATCGGCCCTGGGCCCCTTCTGGAGGCCGAAACTCGACGACGTGCCAGCTCTGACTTTTGGGGTAAGTGACAAATAATTCTCAACAAGGCTGGAGCCCACGAATAGATTGGAGCTTTTGTCCAAAAAAAAAAAAAAAAAAAAACATGTACTAGCGGTTTAAACCACGAAAATGGAATCCGTATCAATAATCCAGGCCTTGGGAAAAAAAAAAAAAAGGGCAATAAGTGCACAAGCCAATGACTTTTCTTCATCTCTCTCCCAAGGAGGCACTCATTGCAGATTTACCGATGGCCTTGCAAAATTAGAAAGAGGGAAGTACGTTTATGTCACATGAGAGTTTGTAATGGGCATAAAAAACAGGCATTGGCAACTTTGTCATGGCCTGAGTTTGAAAAGGCGGTTGTAACTCAGGCCGACAGTGGTGTCAGGGTGGCGGTTTCGTTAAGGCGGTTGTTTTTTTTTTTTTTTTTTTTTTTTTTTTCTCGCGACTGTGGCCCATCAGGGTCATGGCCAGCCGCGGGTGTGGCCTAGACATTGCGGCCGTGGCCCA